GTTTGTAAAACTGCGTGATCAAGCCCTCACTTGCACTCATCTAGCACGTACGGACACATCTGTGCCCCACTCAAACATCACAGGCTTTCTACAGGTCTAGTCCAAAATGAACTTCAAGTTCAGTTTGCCATATTTTTCCTACTTTGCAGTTGTATTAGTTACTTTTTCCACCCTATTTCTTCACTTGAAGTAGACAAGTAACTCACTGGACCTATCGATACTGTTCAACTAAACTCGGTCGTTAAGGAACAAAAAATGAAAGAAATAAAAAATTAAACGATAAAAGATAGGTATTAGTGTTCTTAACACTTCACCTTCTAAATGCACACTCCCTTCTAATAAACAGATTTTCTTGTACCAACCTTGACTTCCTTTCCTTCATGTGAGCTTAATCTAACTTGTTAAACATCACATTTCATTGTTCTTTATTACTAGATTTTCTTATATGGAGCCTCTGACTTTATTTCACTCTAACAACAGATAATCAGAATTTGATCTAGTTTATTACACCTCTGTCTGTTCTATTACAAAATGCTAAGCGACATTTTGCCTTTATATCCAAGTGTCTTGCTGCTCTTCTGTTTCTCTTTGTTCTTTCTTCAGAATCTTGCTCTAAAAGCACAGCTATGGAACTCCTGACATCTGGAACAAACTTGACGTACGCGTCTCCTCAAGGTTACAGCAAACTCTCTACGAGTCTGCTTTATAGCAACTATATGCTGTGAGCCAACAGACATTGTAATTTGTAGAGATAATTGTAAATCTGGCGTGTACCTGCTCATGCAGAAGTATGTAATTATCATTATTATTGTCTACACCAACTCATTTTGTCGTAACAATCACCAATATATCATGGAGAACAAACTTAGGCTAGGGATAGAACAATATTGGTTTTGCTTCCTAGTGAGCAATCCTATTACAAGCAAGACTAGACAATTCACTAAAAACGAAGCCTGCTCATGACCCTATAAAAACAATAAAAATAAAAATGGACTGGAATAGAAACGACAAAAAAGAAAGATAGGCATTAGTTTATCAGAATACTATTACCAACACTATATTCTATAATTACACATAACCCAATACTTTCAGTTTCTTTTTGAACCACCTCCTTTTATACAGTTCTTTGTTTATTCATACCATATTTACGCCAGTTTTCTTTAACCTACTAGAATACTCTTGCTTAAAAAGAATCTCAATAATGGAAAATTAGACTAGGTAGTCATACCTTAACTGTCTCACCACAAATGACTCGATATGCATGAGCATTGTCTGCTTTGCTTCTCGTCCTCTATTTTTTAACTCTTTTTCAGCCCTCTAACGATATGCCACCGATAACGCATACGGACCGGGTAAGTTCGTCCTGAGCCATCTGATCCTCAGATATTTCAGAGGGATATGAGATCACGGTTCATAAAAGCTCTCTCTCTCAGATTTACCACCGACTATCAGTTGCACGTCGTAAAGTGACCTCGGTGAAGCGCGCCAACTATCGTATAAACAATACGGATCTTATTAATATTGTTTGCATTCCTACGTGAAGAGTACTATCCCACATGTTTTTTCGATCAATGTACCTTTATAAAATATCAAACTGAGTAACCTACCACAGTGAAGACTGTATCTTCCCTAACGATATGATCGTGCCTGTAAACTGGCCTGCCCCGTGTAACAAACTGTTATTTGAAAATAAATTATTATTATATTGAAAACTGAAGCTTGTTTTTGATTTTTTGACACAATAATGCAAACGGTCGAGATAAAACAAATTTTCATGTAGTATCCTACGCACAGTAATCAGTTAATTGTTCTAGAAACCTACCACTTCTTCCAGATCGTCTTGTTTCAGGCAGTGCGTCAGATACAAGCGAAGTTTCGTCGTGAATTTCGGTTAATGAAGAAGGCATCGTAAATGGATGAAACCTGACATTATTAAAGTCTCCTTCTAAATATGCGGCCTTCAGACGGTCGATGCTGAAGCCATAATTGATTACTTTTTTATCGGTGATACATTACTTAAGTTCACTCTGAAGAAATTTGAAGGGTCCTTCGTATGCCATTTCAAAAAGTCATCGAAATGAGCCGCGAAGTATGAAAATGTGTGCACTGTATCGTAGGGCAGTTCCAACGAAGATATCAATTGGCTGACGTCGAGTTACAACAAGTTTAACAGAACGCATCAAGTTTGTAAGTCTGTTTGTGTAAGAGTTTAGATCCATATCCATCGGAGAAGATGAATAATCCATGAATTCCCCTGGTAGTCAAAGTGTCATTCCGTCACTTAGTTGTGCTGCAGTGTATTTAATGTCAACATTTATTGAATTTCGGAAACTGAGTAACATGATTGCTGGAGTGTCTGCCCACTTTGAAACAATTGCATTTGAAATCGAGACTTTAAACTATCAGGGAAATTGTCCTACCAACCTGTTTGTCTGTGGGTGATAGGCAGTTGTTCAGAACCATGTGATTCCTGGTACTGTGATAAGACAAAGGAAAAGTCTAGTTCGAACAGGCGTCCAAAGTCTGTAATAACGGTTGAATGGCAGTCGAAGTTTGCCACCCATCGTTCGACGAAGGCACGGGCTACTATTCCGGAAGTAATGTCCTTGATGAGTACTACTTCTAGCCATCGTGTGCAGTGATCCACACACGTCAACAGGTAAGATTATCCATTCGAATTTGGTAAAGCTCCTACCACATCCAGATGAACATGGTCAAAAAGAGCATCGGGAGTTTAAAAAAACTTGAGGGATATTAAATGTATCTAATCACCTTAGATTTATGGCAGCTTACACAAGGGCTTTCCCTTCCCTCATTTTCTCATCTATTCCCATATGTTTAATACGCATTTTAGGGTTAACGAAGATGACTCGTGTTGAAGATCGGAGCCTTACTTCTCAGGCTGGACGAGTTTAAGTAGGTCGATCCCTTGGAAACTATCCAAGTAGGTTACACATGATGATGATAGCAGTTTTAGGAATGTCATCTGCAGCCATGAGAGTTTGGTTATATGATATAACCAGATCGATTCTCGAGAAAATAGTTTTACCTTCAAGGTACCTGTCAAACGGTGAGTGTGCGGCAATGGGTAACGACCTGGAGTGGTTTTCGTATTCCCTCACCTAAAGTCACAAGTTGGATGCCAATCGGTGCTGCTCTCTATAGGAATCATGTGCAAGGGTAATGTTCATGAACTGTTCAATGGCCGGATGATTCCGAAGTCTATCATTTGGTCGAATTCGTCTTTAGCCAACCTCAACTTTTCTAGAGCTAATTGACGCGCTTTCGAGAATACAGGTGGTCCTCTAGTCGTGATGTGATGTGTTACATATTGGTTGCTCGTTACACATGGTCGTGTTTGGGATATCTCGAGGTACTTATAAAGTATATATTGGTAGAATGGATCGATCGTGTGCCGTATTATGACTGAGGACAATCTACAACCGTAAAAAGAAGTTACACAAACGGATAAATTTGTGTTTTAATCTACTAACCACCATTTGTGCGTGTTGATGAGTAGGTTATGGTGTTGTAGCAGATCTGTATGATGGCTAGCACAAAACATTTGCAACAACTAAGACCCAGTGGATGGGTTTACCTAAACCCACGTTAGGATACACATATCGCTAACCGTGTGTGCTGAACTGTTTCACACTGGCTGCCTGTGAGTTGGAGACCGGTTCATGCAGACGGTCGTTAGAATGTTCTGTAAGGACTCCAACTTCTGCACCCGTGTCGATTAAGTAGCAAACTTCGTCATCTCACCAGTGATGTACAACTTCCCATTATGTCCGCCGACTACGGTTATCATCAATGCGTATCGTTTGAGATGTTTCCTGAGACGTTATTATAGTCAGACTATTCGAAGTTTGGAAAACCACAAGATTTCCTGCAATTTGCAGAAGACATGCTATGCCTAAAATTCGGGGATTTATTTACTCCTACATTACTTTATGGACGAAGAGTTCCGTAATTGGGCATCAACAAAGAGTATGGCTTAGCTATGAGTTATCTAGATAAACGGAGCTCAGTGGAGTGTTTCAGTGTACATCTTTAAGGACAGTACAACTCATCCCGTATGTTAATGACAGTCTAAGTCTCATATCATGGGTTTTGTCGTATGATGAAGATATGGAGGACGATAAAAAGCGAAATGGATAGTTTACAGCTTTAAAATGATTTTCATAAATTACCTGAATGGTCTAGGGTCTGCTAGTTGCGGACAAATGCTCCAGATGCATATTAGCCACCAAGGTACATGAATATACATATCGAATAACAACGATCTACCTGTTGTCTAGACACAATGACCTGGGAGTAATCGTTAGCCAAGATGTTAAAACTACTACAGAATTTCGCACAATGGCTGCCAAAGGTTTGAGAACCCTGTGATCAATATATGAAGCTTTTAGCCACGTTGATACTCAAGCGTTTTTGATTTTGTATGCAGTGTTCGTGCGTCGTAAACTCGAGATTTGTATTCAGACAGTCAAGGCGTGGGCAAAAAATGGGCTGCAAGGGAAGGTTCGAGGGACCGCAACATAAGTAATTTTTGGAATTGCGAAGCCTTTTTAAGAAAAGAAACTGGCTAAATTAAACTTATTTTCTTTGCCAAATAGAAAGACTAGTAGTGACTTGATCGCAGTTTTTAAATTAATGAATGATAAATTTCCAAATAACACGACCTCAGTTCCCCTGTCTTTCAAGACAGTCAATTTGTAAGGACACAAAAAAATCGACGACAGCGGAACAAACCACTTCTCGATTGATTATCAGCCTTCTGATCGAATAATCAATTTGTGAAAATCCTTATCTCAACACTTGGCCGGAGCTCCATCTGTTGACTAAGTTAAAAAAAAGGTTGGATCGACTGAAAGACCACTGTCATAATGACTAACACAGGAAACCCAAGCTTTTATCCTTTCCTAAATGAAACTGAAACTGGTTCATATCAAGTATATTGTTGATTGAAAACATCAGAAACTATAGAGGGATCTTTAATGTCTCAAGGTTGTATGTTGTTTACTTGACTCTTGATAGCTTTGTTTCAACGTATAATTTACAGCCGTCTTAAAAGGTAATGAAGTTGATTTATTAAATATAAACGAAATATCTTGCGACTTGTACTGTAGTTAACAGTCTTGAATGCTTGTTTCATTGCGTCTGATGATGTACATCATCCACTTTAGTGGGAAAGTAAAATGAATAGTATGTCTGTGAAAAGTGGTGTTTTAGAATGACATATCATCGTTAGCTGAACACGGAGGGAAAACGTGCCAGTTGTGTGTACAATACTGGTAGGCAAGGAATGCCATGAGAAATAACCTATCGGACCCTTTATTCCTCTTGTACATGTAAGATATTTGAATCGTTGAACATCTCCATACCCATATCAGGCTCATGGTTGTTTAGGATGAGTTTTACAAACAATAAAAATCCTTGTCCGTGTAGGTATTGCAGAATTTGATGCCGGTCGCGCATATTTTTCTCCTGTTTATAAACCTAAACTCTCTGTTGAGAAATTTCTCTTTGTATTTTCAGATCTTGTCTTGTTGAACAATTCTGGATCCCAAATATTAGCGTTTTTGATACATTTTCTTTGCACTAAATGGGCCATAGGTATCATCGACGTTTTGGTGGTAGAATATCTTACATCAACCAATGGGTAAAGTATTTTTTATGCTTGGCGAACTTCATTTTCTTAGTAAGTGCATTTTATGCCCCGGTAAATTTAACCTAAATATGCTAAGAAGGCTTGGGATAGAAATTACGATGATCATGTTACTTAAGTGGGAATGGATCATGGGACACTGCCAAAAATTGTACAAATTACATATATGTGGTTGTCTCTAGTTCAGTTCGTGAAAACCACTTTCAACTCAGACCACTGGTTACGTTCATACTAAAGTAGAATAATTAGCGTCTTAGGAATTATAGGTGTCTGATAAGTGGAACATTTTTTTACCAGAGCGTCTCCCTTTTTCTGTGCTGCGTAATAAAGTTGATAAATTGTTGTAAATTTGTAGAAAATGATAATCTTGAACTCAGGCTAGTGCCGTAGTATAAAATGTTCCAATACAATAAATTTTATAGAAATAAAATGCTCGGGTTTAAATATGACTATTCGTCTATCCTAGCCCCCAAATGCCCTGGTACAGCCGAGAGTGGGGAGTGTATGCTCTCCCTCTCGAAATGCACTCACATGGCCACGCGTATGTAGCCTCTGCCAGGGAAGTCTTACTCACTGCCTTCTCGTGGCGGAGTTGTTGTTTACAGAATTGAGAGGACGGAAATCGGATGTCCAGCGCTTTAACCGGGTCGGTGGATACGGGGAGTCCACCTAGGGGAGTTGGAAAACCCTGATTTCAAACCAATGGTGCACAAGGGCTCTAGTACCCCGAGGGAACAAATGGCATATGAACCAATCGTTGGTCACCGGCTACCATGGGACTGCATCTCCTTACGATGCTCCACAGTCTTGTGGACCGGACCTTTAGGTCGAAGGTTCCGGGTGTGTTCCCCTAAGAAAACCACCTGCTTCGGTTTGGGCACCCGGGTAGTACCACAGCCCTCACACAAATCAAACGAGATTTGTGTGGTGCATACGTATTTGGTACCCCCTTATACCAGTATTTGTGCCCAAATAATAATAATACATTATTTAAAGGTATAAATCTATGGTAATTAGAAATATTCTAATTAATGTACTAATAATTCCGAAATATTGCAATTTAAGACAGGTAAAACTAGATACACATGAATGAACATATATTTAGAAATTGTAATCAATGAGCAATCAAGCACAAAAGAATCATTCGTACGTACAAATACCACATCCGCCACTGCTTAAATGGGAATCCAGATTTTTGTAATCGATTGTACTTCTTATCCTTAGGTTCATCGTGTGCCTGTCAGACTGTAGCAGATGCAGACTCAATATGATCTAGAATGTATTCATTAGTAATAGAATAAATAACCGAAATCGGAGCTGACTCACATGGTTTCTGTGATTGTATTTGATCAACATTTCGGTTGCGTACTTAAATCATTTATATCTAGAATTCGAACTATAGATTTTCCAACATTCTTCATCACAATCCCCGTAGCTGGTCTAAGTTAATTGCCACGATAATATGTGATTTCTACAGACTCAAAACACCTCATAGTCGAAGGGAAATACCTCCTTTTAATAACTTTGATGAAGTCTCTCTCGTTGCAGAATGTTTAGCATTTCTATGTTGCAGTAGAAACATCTACTCTCCTCGCCAGTTCATCAAATGTTGTATCATTAATGAAATCAATAGCAGTTTTCAACGTTCTGTTAAAACTTTCTGCCTGGACATCAGAACAAGAGTGTCTGCGAGCAGTTAACCGATATTTTCAGGGTATACCTTTCAACGAGACAGTAACTGCGTCCTCAGTAAGATTAATCATCAATCACTAATACCATAGGTACTGCATCTTGACTGAACGCTTTTCTCAACACTCGGATTATGGAGTCAGAGTTTGATGACGTGAAAAATATTCAGGTCACTCTGAAAAACAATCACTGACAACAAGCACATAGTATTTACCGAGAAATGGAACACGACAGTCTGCATGAATTCCCTACCAGGCTCGAACGATACTGACCATGGAGTCCACTTCGAAAGATGATTTTTCGACTTATGACATCCCCCACAATTGCCTGCTCTACGACATATATCTACACTTATCTTCGGCACCAACATATGAACCTTGCCAAAGATTTCATTTTCTCAACATCCAACTATTCCACTATGAACTTTTAAGGACAGATTTACGTAGTGGAGGAACAACAACATGATCATGTAAACACAAAATACTGTCAGGAGTAGTGGATTACTCATCGCGCTTTGAAAAATAGACAGGACGTCTACATTTTCGATTAGCATTCCAACCTTTTGGTATGGCACTTAGTATACATTTAGGGTGTCAAGGAGTTTCTATAATGAGATCTGGATGTTTCACCGGTAAAGGTTGCACTAACGAACAGTCGAATGTGCTAAGGATTTTTCAGGATGATAAATGAACTTTAAAACTTCATGATTTGTAACACTACTGAATTTCTTTCCAAATAAATATATATGAAGTCTTTTAAAAGCCTAAAATACAGCTAATGCCTCTCGCTGGGTTTGTGAATGACCTTGCTCAGCAACAGTAAGTTTGCGTGAAACAGATAACAGGTGTAACTTCGTGCTCCAAAACTTCACCATCACCCATCAGTAATGAGCACATATTGTACGCTAGGGGAGTAAGTTTGAAGAACAACATCGCTTCGAAAAAACTTTAGTAGACTTCGTAGGCATGACTGTTGTTCCTCACCCCGTTTAAATGAGTTGGATACCGAGATGTGAAATAAACAATCAACCAGACAAGAAAAATAAGGAATAAAACGGGAATAGTATTGAAGAGTACCCACTACTGAACGTAGTTTTGTAATATTTTTCGGAGATCGCGCATTTATCAGTAAAACTAGTCGCTTCATATCTGGTTTGGAACATTTGCCGTCAACTGGGTTACCTGTGTCAACAAATAAAGTCATGAAATGAACCAGTGTAGGTAATATAATCGCTTCCGAATATGTAAATTACCTTTCGAAATCGTGGATAAAGATTAATGATAATTAAAAGCACCCAACTTAATGAAAGCCGAACTACAATGTTCATAATTCTTAGTGGTTAAATGAGTAGCAGTTTTATAAACCGAATAGATATGTCCCATTTTACCACATTTAAGGTACCTGGCATGAAAGACACATAAATTACATCAATGAAATTTACCACAGGATAAACATTTACCAAACCTGTGCTCACCTCTGTAACGTACTTTGCAATTTTTTATATTTTCGCGAGAATGGGAAATCCTTTTGTTTTGAGTCTCAGATTTGAAACCAACGCTAATAGAAGGTATCTCCGTATTTGAGACATCTCAACAAAACGTCTGGTTTCAAGACTACTAGGCCGTATGGCAATGTTACCTTCTATCCCTACTTTTTTATGGATTTCCGGATTAGTAATAAGTTTTAACAGTCAGTCAGTAACAAAGTAGAAATTCGTACGTACGTACACCAGTTCGAGTTGCCACACCACATTAGCACAGAGATGCAGTAGTCGATTCAAATCCCGTAGTGGTACAGGTAATAAGAGTATAAGCAGTAATCGGGAAGATTAGTGTTTGGAGATGTTACTTAAAGAGAATAATACAATGAAATAAATTTGGGGAGAGAAAAAAAAGACAAGGAAGAATAAGGAGATCAAAATTTGGGAGAACACAAAGAGTGTATGTACCTGCGCCATTGCAAACGATTTTGAGCCATGTCATTGAGGGTCTGTAACCATCGGTCGCTATCATCTCGCGGTCCCCAACCAGGTAGTCTACACCTATCGACATGACTCAGACCACTTGTCAGTGACTTCATGGACTTGTGCCATGTTTTGGCCTGGCCGCCCTAGCTTTCTTCCGACCTACTCCTATACCACTGAATATCGCACGTCGAGGCAGTCGGTCGTTGGGCATACGTAACACGTGTCCCATCCATATCAACTGATGAAGTTTCACTACTTCATCAATTGATTTGCCATCCTTACCTAGTACCCGTTTCCTAACAACTGCGTTACTTACTCGATGGTCCCAGGATATACGAGCAATATTTCGGAAACACCTATGATAAAATACTAGTAACCTACGAATATCCTCTACTCTTACCGGCCATGTTTCACTGCCATAAAGTAGGACGGAACGAACTGCTGCTCAGTAAACCCGTCCTTTGGTTGATAGATGGATATTTCGCCTACGCCATAAATGACGTAAGTTGGTAAAAACTAGTCAAACCTTCTGCATCCGTGCTGAGATTTCGTCACACACCAGACCACAAGGGCTAATGAGACTTCCAAGATAAGTGAAGCGATCGACACGCTCAATTACTTCACTCCCTATCATTAGTTCGGGTGTCGATGTAACCCAATCCTGAAGCAACATTTTGCATTTCGACGGGGAGAATCGCATCCCGAACATACTTGCATTGTTACTTAGAGTGGTCAGAAGACTCCGCATTTTGTCAGCGTCTTCACTAAATAAAACTATGTCATCAGCATATTCTAGGTCAAAAAGCTGACGTAAGTTTTAACACTTCGGACTATATGATTTTATGTCATAACTACTTATTAAAATCGATGTTTTATAAGTTCTTAGTACTTTTAGGAACTAATTCCATGTTTTACTTTCAGGCTGCTGGAACATTGTTTCTTGTGTTCGGTGTGATCGCATTTAGTGAGTCGGGAGGTATACCATGGAAATCTAAAACTATTGCATTGCACTGGCTTTTTAACTTGACCGTAGTTTGTATGGTCGTTGGGGTCATAACCTTATTTGTTTCACTGGCTGGTTTTGTCGGATCTTTACGTGAAAACACTTGTCTGCTGAGATTTGTAAGAAATTCTATTCAATAATGCTACTTTGTCTCGCTATAGTATTACTTCATTTTAACGTTGCTTTTTCTGACAGAGGTAGTTTGCTGCGTATTATTCTTTATATACCGTGAATCAACTGTCCACAGGCTTGAAGAGTTAATCAAAACTACTTTTGTTATCCAATATAGAGAACTTGGATTTGAGGATACAACAAACTTTATGGACTTTATTCAAAAAGAGGTATTTTAAGCTATTCATTAATATATTTATTGAGTTGAGTTGCATTTTTTCGTTCAAAATAATATGATTAACTTATTACATTTCCATAGATTAGGCATGTGTTATTATCTGCCTGATCTTAAGTCATGTAATCCTTAACGCGCTTCTCTTTTATTTCATGAGTTTCCCATTGATTCTTGTTTTCAAATATAAAGTTAGAATTTCCATTTTCTGGCCTACGTTAAATATCTCAGTGGTGAGTAAAGTATTAGAAGCGATAGAATAAAGCTGTAAGGATAATCAACATTGGAAAATGATTAGGATTTATCACCAAGAACTGCACTTAAATGTTAGCAGTTAGTGAAACTCAGAAAGTAAGACTACTTATCCATTTTCATACTGAGTGGGAGATTTTAATTGACCTCCGTTTACTTTTCTGTAGTCCACTATTCACAAACAAACTGAACAGAAGAATAAATTCAGACATCTCACTCATAGGGAATTTGGAGAGAATTTAGCCACCTTTCTCCCAAGTTCTATTGGATTAGACCCAAATATTTTGTAGAGTCCTGGTTCAAAATATGCAGTTAGATCCAATGAAATGTCTTTCGAATTTGGGAGTTGGATTCAATTCCATCTAATTGGTTTTGATTTCTGATCCTTTGAGACCAAAAAAGGACAAAAAATCGTGTGGTAATCACGGTGAAAATCAATGGGATTAACATACATTATAAGCTCATAAGTTCCGTGACTACACAATAACTAACCAGCTCAGAAACACCAAACCAAAGAAAATCATTTTGATTTAATGTTTTAACTGTGGATTTATAGACCATGCATTTATTCTTCATCAAGTATATTTGCCAATATTCAACCGTGACTATGTTTCTTATCCCCACTCTGTCAATCCGGAGGTCTTTGTGGAGCAATCTGTCCTAAAAAGACTTACATCACCCTTCAGAAAAACCTTTACTTAAATGGGCAACGAAAGCAAAAGTGATGGGAAAGGCGGTGGCTGTAGATAACACAAGACAGCTCTTCAGATTAATAAAAGAAACGAATCAAGAGGCCAGGTGTAAGTGAGATTATCTCGGAGCCCCCGAGTACCCTGGTACGACCGAGAGTGGGGAGAGTCTGCTCTCCCTCTCGAAATGCTCTCACATGGCCACGCGTATGTAGCCTCTGCCAGGGAAGTCTTACTCATTGCCTTCTCGTGGCGGAGTTGTTGTTTACAGAATTGAGAGGACGGAAATCGGATGTCCAGCGCTTTAACCGGGTCGGTGGATACGGGGAGTCCACCTAGGGGAGTTGGAAAACCCTGATTTCAAACCAATGGTGCACAAGGGCTCTAGTACCCCGAGGGAACAAATGGCATATGAACCAATCGTTGGTCACCGGCTACCATGGGACTGCATCTCCTTACGATGCTCCACAGTCTTGTGGACCGGACCTTTAGGTCGAAGGTTCCGGGTGTGTTCCCCTAAGAAAACCACCTGCTTCGGTTTGGGCACCCGGGTAGTACCACAGCCCTCACACAAATCAAACGAGATTTGTGTGGTGCATACGTATTTGGTACCCCCTTATACCAGTATTTGTGCCCAAATAATAATAATAGTCGTTTAGAACGATAGGCGGAAAACTTTGGAGAACAGTTTAGCTAGCCTTCACCTACTCTACAACTACCCGCGGTTCCCAGACAGCGTGAATGGAACATTGAAGCAGGTCCCCCGACTCCAGCTGAAGTTAAAAAAGGCTATAGCTAATCTGAAACGAGGATGAGCATCTGGCCCAGATGGATTGGCTACAAAGGACTTCAAGGATGGTGATCCAGATTTAGCAATTAGGTTGACTAATATAATAGCTTAAATCTAGGAATCGGGCGTAATCCCATCTGACTGGTTGCAATCACTTATTGTCCCGATATATAAGAAGGGGTCAAAATCATCCTGTGGCAACCATAGAGAGATTAGTTTGACTAACATATCATCTAAAATACTAGCGTCAATAATTATGGGGCGCCTAACAAAGACTTGTGAACTTCAAACACGAGCAAATCAGGTTGGCTTCAGATCTGGTCGTGGCTGCACCGACTACATATTCACCATTCGTCAGGTTCTAGAACACAGGCATGCTTATTGGCGTCCGACAATCATGATCTTTCTTGACTTGAAAGCAGCATTTGACTCCGTAGACCGAGAGCTTCTGCAGCACTGTCTGTCATTGAAAAGAGTACCTCAGAAGTACATAAACCTTGTGAAGGTTCTTTACTCGAAAACTACCGGTCGAATGAGAGCTTATGACGAGCTGTCATCTGCTTTTGCGACCTGAAGTAGTGTCCGTCAAGGCCGTTCATTTGGTCGATTTTTGTTTAACTTCATCATAAACCTATTGATAGAGATAACGCTCTTGATCTCCTACCAGGAGGTCCACTTATCGACTTAGAATACGTGGATGAAATGTTAAGGGGTTTTATTGTCGGATCACTTTGCATAGCTCCTTCCAATATACTGAATTACTTTAGAACTAAAAACAGTATGGTATTTCTGAATTTTTAGGGAGGCCATTTATTTAGTGCAAAGTCGCAGAAATTAGACAACAATAGAATGCTTTTATTATCCTGGAATATTTTTAGAATTATGCAGTACTTTGTTACTTAATATCTTCTACATTTAAAGGACTTTAAGAAATACTCGCCAAGCTAAATCACATTCATTTATTTAAATACTTTTCGTTTAAGATGTCATTATCATACGTTACTGACAATTCAGATAACTCAATGTTTTAACTGTCTATAGTCTTGTCGCTTTACAAATAATTTTCTACAGAAACGTTCAGACACCTCAAAAGCTACTAAGGAATTAGCTTACTATATCCTACCGATGGAATCATTCTATTTTAAAGTAAAAATTTTCAAGCATTTACTGTACTTGTTACCGTATTTTCCGGTTTCTAAGTATTTTCTCGCTCCAAAATATTCCAAATCCGGCAAATGAAACTTATTGATGAAAGGTGTATCGTTAAATTATGTAGGATTTCAAATCAATTGTAATAAAGGTTAGTAAAATTTATGAAAAAAAACACATTCATCCAATAAAAAACATCACATCATGAAGGATAATAGGCCCATAAAATGACTAATAAAAAAGCACAAAGGCCTCTTTTGTCATCTCATATCACCCATATTTTTGAAGTTGTTGAATTGGAGAGAATGAGGGTGAAGCAATATGAACGAGCACAGTTGTTACATGTTTATATTGTAATGCATTTCAGTGACATTATGAGCCCAGAAATTCATAAAATTGGAATCTTAATTGGATGTTTATACTTCACGATTCAGATTTCCATCTTCATGGCAGCAATATCACACGTTTGTTTTTAGTAATTCATTCTTACTATTTTTCAGATATTTTTTGAAAACGTAATCGTCTAGTCAAAGGTTTTTTTAATATATTTCAATATATATATGTGTATATTTACATACAGCTTAATTGTTGCGGACCTAAGTCATATCTTGATTGGACAGCTAATCGATACTTTTCATGTGATAAGTCTAATATAAGTCCTGAAGCTTGTGGAGTTCCATATTCTTGTTGCCGTCAAATGAACGATATCAGTGTAAGCACATTTTTAGCTTTCTATAACTGGACGAAATTCTATTATTTGTACTTCAAATACATTACTTATCAGTTTTCAATTTTAACATCCCATAGTCATACTAATATTATTATTAGTTATTATCATTAGAAGGTAGTGCGTAAATGTAATACTTGAATGTATCGTGTTTTACTTCATTAACTTTAAGAATGAAGTGCGTTTTTTAAGTTTTGCTTTGGTTATCAACGGAATGATAAGTTCAGTAGTGTTCAGCGTGCAGGCTTCCACTAGAAAACAACTTTACTTTTTCCACAAATCTCTGTCAATATGTTGTTTCAACAAAAAAAAAACGAATTTCTATCAAAATCATCCATCAAAGCTACAAATTTCATCCACCATTTTAAATGAGATGTGTTAGTATACACATTACAAACAAGATCCAAATCTCGTTATTTAAGTGTATACAATAGTAGCAGTGAAGATCGTCAAAAATTCATTTTAATCTTTCCTGTTGGTTTAATCTATTCACATCGAAACAAACAACAAAACAACTCACTTGCAGTACATCATTATGATGACGAAGATCGTAAATCAAAAGCATACTTTTCATTATTTTTAAGATATCGTTCGTATAGTTAACCTCCATCATGATTTTCATTTTGAAAATATGTTTAAAATGAAGTATCAAACCTTTCATTTCATATATACACTTCAGTAAGTAAAATACCATTCGTATGTGTATTAATAAGATCCACATTACTTAGTAAATTCAAAGTATTATTCAAAAAGTATGTAAACACAAGTATCACAACATCAGATTGAATAGAACTTGAGTCTTCCGATAAACAAATACACTGTGCACTAGTAACCACAATAACTACAATTCTTTATAGAATACCATGTGCTAAGTTGTTACACATAAGTACATTTTTATACATCACGTACTTCAGGATTCTATTTAAACTAATATCCCCCCCTATTTTATATCCTTGTATCTATTATCTTGATTCGGTTCTTACAATCAGTGAGATACTATCAGTTTATTATACGTGCTTATATCAATATAAAATGATATTGACAATAAGTATAGTATATTAAGGCCATAGAATATTTTTTATTATTTGTCTAATTTCTGTAATTTAGACATTTGACCTACTGTATAAAATTATGTGTGAGTTTGTTTAGATGAATGTCTGTACATCAATCTTTATCTATTCTCTCATTAGTTGTAAACACAAACAATCATTAATAATTTATCAACAATCGATTAACACTCTTAAGTATATATGTATTCTTTTGATATTTACACTTGCTTCTCTGTGTGCTTGCGGATTCTATCAATTATTGACAATACACTGTCCATTGTGTCATTGAATAAAAATAAAGAGAATTTAGTGAAGAAAATTTTCATTTTGACGAAATCATTTACTTAAGCTATAAATATGAATATACAACTTAAGTAAATGATTTCGTAAAAATGAAAATTTTCTTCGCTGAATTCTCTTTATTTTCATTCAAATACACCATCCCTACAATTGGTTTTCTGATGATAATAATACTACTAGAAGATTTGGCCTGAGTAAATACTCAATTAACAGGATATTACTTAGTGACGTCAGTTATAGAGGAATTATTCTCTACAGTTTATCATCATAACATTTGTTTGATTTCTCTGACGAGTGATTGTGGTTACGCATCACTGAATATTAGTGATCTCTAACTAACAGGAGAGAAATGCCCCTGTATGAGAGTTCGCTTACTGTATTATTGATTATTCAACTTTTACCAGTCCATGATAAATTCTAGACTCAAGTTAATGAATTAATTATTACTGAATTTGAGTATCAAAAAAAAAATAACAATGATAAAATATCAGCCTTAAAATTAATTATTTATGAAATGATTGCAATGATATGCTTACACTCAACCATAGGTTAATATTATTAATACATCGTGTGGATTTGGTGTACAAAAATTAACAACTGCTGAAGTCAATCGTATGGTATGGACAACTGGATGTGTTGATGCTCTTATCGAAGCAGTAGAAAACAACATAGTCTATTTCGCTTATGGGTTTGTTAGCGTAGCTGTGTTTCAGGTTAGTGCACTACATATATATGTAAAAGGTATAATACCTGGATTTAAAATATTTAAATGATTCCGTGATTTTTTTTTAGTAGTTCTAAATGACTTTGCAGATGATTGATTGTTAGTTTCTTTTATTTTTAGCACAGATTCTTAAGAAATAGAGTTGTCTTATTGTGTAAAATGTTCGTAAACATTAATCAACCATCTTTGATGGAGTTTTTGGTGTAATAAATTTACGCCCAAACGTGTTTAACTGTGTATTAGTTATGATATCTTGATGCTCTGGTCTTGTTAAAAGTAGAAAAGCTTGATGCCTCTGAAATGTTAACTTACCGTCCCTTACTCGTAGTATCGTCCAGGGATACCCTGCTCGTTTGTTGGGGATATTAGATCTCCAGAACTCCCTTGGTAAATATCTTAATTTTGTAATTGTATTCAGAACATTTGAATTTCTTTGTTTTTGCGCCAAAAGCGCTCTTTTCATATTCATATCGTATTTCCCACTTGGGAGAATCTTTAACGCTATTGGTCCGTTGTATATTTTAGTAAACTATTTTGTAACGCTTCTCAAGGACAGTTTTATGCTGTATATATATACGTGTGATTTGTGTCTGTTGTTATATATGTATTTTCATGTATATATCGCTGTTCGATTTCTTCTATTGCGTTCGTTTAGAAGTTTTCATGTTTCATATAACTCACACTTTGATATTTCATTGTATGCTACCATTGAAGTAACTACTATGAATTTGGTATTCATCTTGCTGTGCTAATGAGGTGTGGCAACTTGGACCGATGCATATATGTGCCTGGTCCTACGTTGGAGATGACTGACTGACTGATACTATGCTAAGGATTCTTTTATATTTTGATAATAATAACACATTCGGTAGTAGATACTTTAAACAAATAATTGGCCACAGTTTTGTATTTCAAAGTTTACAGTACTATTTGTTTTTTCAGGACATTCTGAGGCTCCTTCTTTTTTTACCATCCATATATTATTATTATTAACAGTTGTATATGTTTTCTATTTCACCTTCTTACATCTTTCTGTTTCTTTCTTAGCTTATAGCTATTCTACTTGCAAAGACACTGCATACACAAATCAATGATCAACTGCGTTTACTGCATCAAGAAAATAATTACTATTGAGAATTTTTCTTCCGTCCGTTTAAAGATAATGTGCATTATTATTATTATTATTACAATTTGTAAGTAAAAGAATTTATTTTTGGATTGTTTTTGGTGACTACTGTTAATTCTTCATCAATCACTGAAACAACAATTTACTCATCTTATATGGAATGAATAAGGATAATATTACGATAAATCCTTTCTTCATCAAATCGATGTATATGATTTTATTTCTGACCGATCCTAACTGTGATTTGAATTTGCTCAATTCTTTGCTTATTTTATTTTATTTTTCTGTTACATCCTAATGAATTACAACAATTTGTTAACTGAAAAATAATATAAAATATAAATTGTATTCTTTTGAAATTTTATGTTTTCTCAATCTAAAACATTGTCAATAATGATTGGTTTGTATTATATAATTATTTCATTTTTATAATGAATTTAATTTTATTTCATTATATTAGTACTATTCGGTGTAATTTTCTATTCATAATTTTAAAGGAATTAAATCAACAACATCATACAAGATAATTAAAATATACAAAATCTATAATTTAAGACTACTATTTATCAACAGCATATCTTTTCATTGTATTCAGCTTACAAAATAGTTCATTTGTTTTTAGTCACTAATCAATTAATCAGCATATTAACGTGATTATTCAATTCAGTCTTAAATATATAATTACTTGCAATAAGATGAATACTTGTTTAACAAATAGTATTCTTTATAATCTATCAGCTTGGTAGATGAAAATCTAATGTTCATGAGGATAGTTACTAGTTTCATGTTTCAATGAGAACAATATAGATACAGACAAACCCAGCCAATATCTTACTTGACGATTATGCATGAATATTGTTGTTTTAACTACTTTAGAATATTTCTTCTGAAAACTAAAATTTTAATTTGATATATCAGTTAAAATAACCATGTAAATTAGTCTTTTTCTTTTAAAGAATTTTTTAATAAGTTATCTACATAAAATTATTTTAGGTAGTTGTCAATATTCTACTTGGTTATGCAAAGTATGAGTAAACACCTTAATTAATTCAATTGTTGGAAGTATTGACTACCATAGTAGGTAATACAACTTGATGAATAATCTGTCCATGACCTTGGTAACTGTCATTCAGGAATAAAACAAACAATTATGTGTTTTTTGTTAATGCAGTATAAATGATTTAAAAAATAATTAAAGTTTGTAAACTGTAACATTTTATAGTGTTTGAAATAACTAGTTTTCGTATGTAAATCTCAACAGTATTTTGTAAAATATTCACATAATGAAAACAAGTACCGTATTTAAAGAATTGTATTCACACTGTCCAACAACACCTAGGCAGTCATACGAGCAATAAAATATGAGTTTGTAGATAAAGTTTAACACTTATCATTGTGACATGTTCAAAGATACTCTTGAACATTTCGCGTTCTTTCGTTAAAGTGGTTGTCAATAAGACAATTAATTAATTTCTGTCTGTACCTTCGTTAATTCGTCAATTTTTTTATTACTGAGTCTTTGTTTTGTCTTATACGAAGCTAAACATAAAAATTTAGTCTTAGAATTAGTTATCAAGTTTTCCGAAGGATTGCCTGAATATGTCTCCTTGATGTAGTCACTAGATTGTCAATCTACACTTCCTCTTCTTACTGTGTAATAATGTGTAATATTTTCAGCCTTCAACAGATAAGTATATTTCATAATATAGCATGAATTGTGTTCACAGAGTACTGTGCTACTGTTTTGAAAAAGTGTCTTGTCTCGTTCCTATTACTTACACAATCTATATTGTAATATAAAAAACTTGATTTTTCAAGGTAATCGAATACTGTTATCAACCACTTTTTGGCTAGTTATTTGTAATCAAAAATGCCTCTTTTCCAACGAAAATTCAATGTACCAAAGTTTCCTGCTCGAAAAGCGTCTAGTATGACAAATTTATCACATCTAGATTCAACTACGCGAAGTCAAGAGTTCAGCATGGATTTTGGACCTATTAGAACACGTTTAAGTGGACGAGATCTTGTATTCCGTAATGGACAGTGGATCATTGGTACGTTTTTCAAATTTACTATGAGTACAATAAAAGATAGATGTCAAAGATATTTTTGCAAATATTTCCGGACTTATGAAGCAATACTTCTTTATATATCAATAATGATTAGTTTTGTTTTAATATAAGAAGACATTCTTGATAGTTTAAGGTCATATTGACTAACAATCTTGTTTATATATTTTTTTAGTACATTGAATAAACACCGTATATGTAAGGTGCAATTGTATAACGAAGATATACTGAAACCAAAACTATGTTTTGTTCTACTCACAAATCTACTTGATTATATTTGTAAACAGCCACAGCATTAATTTCGAATCTTATGAAATGTTTCTGCAATGAAGTACTCTCATTCTCTCTGTAGTAAATTGTTGGGTCGGCTTCCGGAGAACTTCAATGGAGCCTCCAGAGGCCCAAAAAGGAGCCGAAGGGCCCTAGCCAATCAGAGTATGATGGAACGTTCGAGAATTCCAGCGTGGCGTGCTACCATTGGTCGGTAGCATAATATGACGTTAACGGATTGGCTGAAATATGATGTTGATTTAACAGACGCCAACATCTATAAATACCCTTGATTTTCTGTACCAGAATGAACCTTGGGATAAAGTATTTTCTCTTATACTTGTGTCTTCTCTCTGGTGTTCAAGTCGCTGTGTAGTTCTAGACTGCGGGTTACCGGAATAGCTTAGGAACAAGTATAGCGTTCAATTGACAAGACTTATCATAAATTTCACACTAGAATTCTAATACATACACGCCTTCATATTTCTGGTTGCTTATGTTTCGTGTAATATTAATGCAACGTGATAAAAAAGAAGCAATTTTCTTACATGTATTTCCTGTAGATAACACTCTCAGAACTCTATTATTGATATATGTTGAAATATCCCTTGAATGTATGTCATCGGATTACAATCGGTAACATATATTTTTTTTATTTATGAGAACGTTTAATTTTCATACATAGATTAAGAACTCAATGTTATTGCTGGATAATTTTGTCAAATGACCATTTCCAATTAAATCTATTGTAATAAAATAATTGAAAAAGAATAAATAAAAATATATTTGTAATATCCCAATGAATAGTAAAATTAGGTTTTCTGACATTTTGTAACTCAGTGTAAGCCAGTTTTTTTTCAGAGAATAAGTTATAATTATAATAAAATTATTCTATTAAGAATTTGACTTACACTGAATTACGAAACGTCGAAAAATTTAATTTTTCCACTCATTTGAGATATTATGAATATATATTAATGAATTTATTTATAACAATCTATTCAATGCTCAATTTATTCAAAATTATCAAATCAAACTTCTGGTAAAATAATATGAACAAGAATAGTCTATTTTATTCAGTAGGTTTAGTGTTCACTTTTTTTTTCATCCTTAAAAATATTGGATTTAATTTGAATAATATTAAATTTGTCACTAAAATTTATTATATCACATAACCTAATTTCCATTGGATTATTATATAACAATTTTAAATCTCCATATTATTGTGTAGGTTACTGTTATCCGTTTTCCTTCGGTATTTTTATTCTACCCTATATACATTTATCGTATTTCATTTATCTGAATATTTTTTTGAAATATTTATATCACAGATTGAGATCATGAGTCAATCGAAACTAGACCACCATGGAAAACCTGGAAGCACTGGATGGCCGTTTCATCTTAGTATGGGACTCCTTAGCAGCGCCCATCCACGATCCCGCACCCTGCGAGGTTCGAACCCAGGACCTATCAGTCTCACGCCAAGCGCTTAACCAACTAAACCACTGAGACGGCATCCAATGGTGTTAATGTCTAACTTCAACCAATCCTCGAAGTTGCGCCACCGTATACCATTATCTTCAGTGAGCTGATATCTCACAACAGACCTGATCTAGTTTCAATTGACTCATGATTTCAATCTGTGAAATTTCTAAAACCTCCACAAACCCCTTCTGGAAATATTTATATGTTTCTGATTTTCTTGAAAAAATATTTTTAACTAAAAGTCACTTATCTAATGTGAAATCATTTTAATACTCAACTTATTGTTGAAATGTAAAGTAAAACGAATTTTCGTTGTTCTGTTCACAGCAAAGTAAAAATCATTACTTTTCAAAAGTAACTTGTATTTCTCACATAATTACAATCTCTTCTATGAATGATAAAGTGGAGTTGAAATAAATTCTTATTGTATTGTTTAGCATATATATCATGCATTAGTCATTTCAACTACCATCTACTAATGATGAATACAGACGACTTATGAGTTATAAGGTTTGTATTATCGACTTGATTTAATCTATACATGTTATGTTTCGGGATGCTTAAGTTTCTGACTACGATTGCGTATGAGATAGACCAGACGACTAGTACATAACACTTAAAAAATTAACTCCCACTCAATGGAAGAGAAAGAATTCGATTAAGGAAGATGTATTGGACAAGACCTCAGAAGATAAATCGTATTTCTCTGGGTCATGCAGCTATATTCTAAGTAATTGAATAATTATTAGTTACATAAATTATCAAATAGCTGTTATGTAAGCGCACAATCACAAAGCATTTCTGCAATTAGTCGTCATACTGAACCAAAGTCAAGTGAATTAAATATTACAATAAAACAACTCAAATTTGAATGGAGAGAAATCACACGAAATTGATATGAAATTTAACTGAATAAAAAGTGAATTTATAAAACAATACATAGTCTGTTACTCAATTTCTATCTACAAAATCCTATGTAGGAATGTAACATCCCCAATAAAGTGGTTATTAAATTATCTAAAAAGAAAATCGATAATGTAGCCTAATTTGTTTAGTATCACTTAATCTTTTGGAATAGTCTTTTGTGAGTGATACCTTTATTTTATTGAAGTTATTTCATTATCTATAACTATTTTTCATTTTAGAAGGAGAAAATGGGGTGTCAAATGATGAATCTGGAAATGCAACTCAGTTAGGTCGTGAAACATTTCGCATTAAAAAAGAAAATCATCAATTAATTGAAGAAAATAATTTGTTAAAGTTGAAAATTGACATACTCTTAGATATGGTATGATATTATTTAGGTTTAGATTGCTATTATCCTTATGTGCAAGTATACATAATTCAACTTATTTTATAGTTCATATTGGAAACTGACCTTTCTCAGACTACCATTGAAATTCAGAAAGCACTGAACAGCTGCTTCGTTCCAGTATAGGAACCATCAACAGAGTACATCAACAACCCCACCAATAATGCAACTCAGAACCTTCATTTCTCTTAACAAACTAATAGTTTCTAAGCCATCGAATCAAAATCTACTGAATTTGTACTGCTAAGGAGTCCCATAACAGGATAAAACAGCGCTTCAGTGCATTATGGATTTCATTAGTTGTTTAATGAATGTCATTTCATATTATTTCAGAAATCTCTAGAAATCCCTTATACTAATTATACTATGTCCAAAATACATATACATCACTATGTAAAATTTTCTCTTTTTATTTTGAAGCTCGCTGAAACTACAGCTGAAGTACACTTACAAGAGAATGAAATTGAAAATCTACGTAATACATTGCACAAAAAACCAAACACAACAATTCAAGTTGCTTAATTATAATCTTTGATGTTTTTATTCTTATTAAAAATCTTCACATTAGAATAATTAAATTCGTGTGAAATTGTTCTTTGTGATAATATTCCATTATTAAACATAATTTTGACATGAACTAAACACTTTTAAAAATGGAACGCTTTATCAACAAAAAAAACTAAAAACATATCATTCCTAGTTTGCATTTCTTTTACTTTTCTCTCTCTCTCTGTATGTTCTCTCATTGGTAATATATCTGTGTGATTTGTGTAAACGTCAGGAATAAATTTTATTTATACTAAAACATATTGTATTGATTTTAAACTGGATTTGTTCCTTATTGATTTCTTAATTTTCTTGTTACCTTGTAGATTTTATATATATATATATATATATATAGCTAAAGACGGCAAGAGTAAAACATGTAACCATTCGTTTAAGTTAGTGACTGTTGAAGCAAGCCATGTTAGTAGATGCAAACTAACTGGTTAGGGTCACATAGTCGGAGACTATGTGACATGTATCAGGATTGTTCATAATGGCTGAGATGCATTCACGTTTTGCATTTTTTTAAGATCTTGAATTCTTAATCATTCCATACATTTTGCTCTGCGAATTCATTCATTCTTCTGGAATCATATCGTCTGTTCCAAATGTTTTCTACTAATACATATAATGTTACTACTTTTAGTACTCTAGAATTTTTCTTGATAATTTCTCGTCTATGTGCTGATATGTTGTGACAACTTGAGTCCCTCCACAAATATGCTAGGTTCTACATTGCACATAACTGACTGATGTAAGCCCTGCATAGATTTGCATTGATATTCTAGTTATAGTTAATGTCTAACAAAGTGATTATTTTCTATCATTCTCAAGTATGTTTTTTCCTTTAATTGAATATTTTTTTGATTGAGATCATGAACCGATTGATGTTAGACCATCACGTTTGAAAACCTGGAAGCACTGGACGGCCGTCTCGTTCTATTGTGGGACTCCTCAGCAGTGCGCATCTACGATCCCGCTCGCGGGATTCGAACCCAGGGCTTTCGGAGCTAATCCTTGTCGGGTAGAGACAGGTATCTACCTCAGTACAACGGAAGTTGGTCGCGCAATTTCGTGGATTGGTTGATGTTAGAAACTATCACCATTGGATGCCGGCTCAGTGGTCCAGTAGGTTAAGCGTTCGCACGCGAGACCGAAGGCCCTGGGTTCGAATCCCGCGAGCGGGATCGTGGATGCACACTGCTGAGGAGTCCCACAATGGGACGAAACGGCCGTCCAGTGCTTCCGGGTTTTCAATTGTGATGGTCTAACATCAATCGGTTCATGATCTCTATCAAAAACATAATAATCTCCACAACCCCTATACTAGTAAATATTATTTATTACTGTTTTAGCGATTTCGTGCATTTCATTACACCAGATACTATGACAGAACACGAAGATAAGAAAAGCCGAAATATCCCGCCAAATTATCTTGGTAAGGAAAATCTTGCTATATTAGTGGAAAAATAGTTTTTGGTGCGTTTATAGGTATATCAGGTCTGTCTTTAATGGCAGGATTCGCATATAGAATATCATCTTTCAAGAAGGTCAATCCATTACCATTCAAGCAAGTAAGATTTCTTATTATTCTCAAAATTACCGATGAACAATTTTCGATAGTTTACCTTGATGAAGTTATTTTGGTGTCTTATCTTTTTTATCACACACTACGATTGTCCATTCTTATAGTTTATTCAGATATGAATACTATCAATCTCTGATCATTCCTACTGGTCTGTGTTTTGTGAACTTTTGAACTAGTTCAATAAAGATGAGTGATGTTAAAGAATAGAATTATGAAATGACATTAAGATCGAAATTTCTAAAAAGTCAACGAGTTAGTGTATCTTTCTAATTACAATTGACTTTAATCTATTTGACAAAAGTTAAGAATAAACAATATCATCTGTCTCTTAACTAATGGACCATACCATGACTATCATTTGTTATTTTGTCAAGTTATTTTTATGATAAGTCTCATTACATTCACGTAGCTTTATCTTTTAACGGATCATCATTTTATATACTACATTCACTTGATAAATATTCATGGAGTGCTGCAGTCTCGTGATAAACCTATCTTTTCTCTGCCTACATAACTCATATTTAAGTTTGAAGTATTGGTCATCGTATCACATGTTGAAAAGAACAAAAGATGTGCATTTTCCTAACTGTTATGTTTGGTAGATTTTAGTGGTCCAAGATCTCACTCCATTTAGATCATATGAATGATTTTTATTGAAATATACATGTCACCAGTCCTCGTATATAATTATAGACTTAACTCACGCCAGTAAATAACGGGATTAAAACAAGTCAAACACAAGAATGAATTTCGAATACGTGTATTCATACAACCGTTGATCAAATAAAACGATCGGTGAAACGAAGCGAAACAGATCGGAGAAGGCAATTGAGTCAACTCGATTTAATCAATCGTGAATCCATATTTATACTCAGACAAAAATAAGTTACATAGATGCGATGAGTGAAATGAGAAACGTACACACATACACTTACATAGAAACGGAAAAGATTGATAACTGAATAATTGACAAGGTCAAAATGTTACTCAAGTCGAATGAATAAGTTGCTTGTCCGGAAGCTAGAATAAGCTATGTGGGTTTGGATAGCACCACAAGAGCATCAAGTTGATTCGGAATATCGTTTTAGTATATTTGGGTCAGCGGGACCGTTCTATAAAGCAATTCTCCTGCATTGATATATAGCTGCATTAATCTTGATAGCTTCAGTGCTGAATTTATTCAACCCATTTCATGCTGAAACCACGTGGTACATACATAAATCTAACGAATGAACTGGTCCTGAACCACTAAACTGATTTGAAATCACTTGGCGTACAAACTATAAAATTCATTATTGCTTATGTGAATAACAATATATCGCTGCAAATGTCCAGGCTATCGAGTCTACTTTCAAAAGTTCACCAATTCTTCAACCTAATTTTAATGTTATGTCATTTTTCTCAATTATACTGTTCACAGGCAATTAATCAGGACAAAACTATGCACGAATCTGGTATACATTTTGCTGCTCGTGCTCTTGGAGTAGCAACAATTATAACTACCTCATCACTGGGAGCACTGTCTTTATTTACGTGGTACATTATAAACCCAGTGGATAGAAACGACTTTAATGAACGTATACGAAATGTATTCCCTTCTAGATGGAAGATAAAATCATCAGATTGTCGTTCTGAAATTAGAACTTTCGAAGAGCTTTCATCCTTAATAAATGATTCTGTAAAAAACAAATGACGAATAATCATTACCCCCATCTGCAACTTATTATTCTAGTTGTCTGCATGAAATTAGTGTTTTGATCCTAGTATTTCTATGTCGTTAGCCTGTAATTTCGTAAGGTCTCTGGATAAAATTTCAGTGAGTTCTACTGAACGATTTCTGGCATCCTTCAGAAAGCTATACGCTCAGGCGTAATTATGATGGGTGGCCTCAACGTTCATGTTCCGATTTGTGTTTTACTCCCTTGATAGTGACTGTCAAATGCAACCATTTATTCTCAACAGGTAATGTTTTTAAAAGTGGGATGCTGACCGTCCTCGGAAATCTCGATATTAATTAGACGATGGAAATAAGACTCTTACCCTTCTCGGTCATCGTTTGGGGAGGTTGATGGGAAATTACGACTATTTCTGTTGTAAATATCTAGATCTCGAACTTCAGTTTGAGCGCGCACTCATTCGCAACTTACTAAATGCAGAAAAACTAATAAGATAACCTCTCATAATTTGGCTCATGTTTATCTCAGTAAAGGAAGAACTAGCTTAAGCAATTAGCTGACCAAAAAATGGATGTTTATTATGTGCTGATCTAGTATGATTTGGTTTTTGCTGGAAAAACGGTAGCGACTTCTATAAGCAACCTAAACGAAAAGGTTAGGGGAAGCCATTAGATCTCGGAAACTTACCACGACAAAAAGCAAAGAGCAACTGATAGTCTATTCAGTTATTACAAAGGTGAGAGATGGAAAAGGCAAATGGTATTAGTGACCCAAAAAAGTTCAACTTCAAGTAAACAGTTTAAAGTGGAACGTTGGCGAGGGGAGTTGTAACAAAATCTTCTCAGCCCCTAATGAAGTCACATCGGATCTCGTTTGTTAAATCTAAAGAAGTATGATTGCTTTTAAATGTGAACTTATATGTTCCGCATCCAAGCAACTAGTCAGTAAATAATTTTATAAGGTTTTTAATGGAAATGTTTGCGTACCTAAAGGAGACGTGAGAATAAGAAAGTTATCAGGTGTGGGAAGGATTTGATCATGACCAACTTGGTCTCGTGTGTTGTAACGGGTATGAGGGCTGATGTCACTTTCCAGCTGCCCACACCGTGGAAGGGTACTTATTGAGGAACCTGAAAAGGAAAATGGGCTAGTGTTGGTCTTAACAACCACAGAGCCCAAGGGACAAATGCTTGAAGCCGGTCACGCACGGCCTTTTTGTGGGGAGTTTTTAACGTTTAAGCTCCGTTCTTCAAAAGGCCTTATCACCGGAGATGAAAATCCGTGAGGTAAGGTATGACATTTTTAGGGTCGACCTTTTCTAACCCTTTCATCCTTGTGAGAAGGCCTCATCGCTGCAGATGCTGGTTGTCCGGAGAAAACACCTTACTGCTGTCACAGCCCTCTACAGTCAGCAGTATGACTTAGCCCTCAGACCTTGAGTTGCTGCTTTCAGTCATACTGTTTTCCAACCGACCTGCCTGGCATGGTAGGACCTACAGGAACATATGTTCCAGCCAGTATAGCTCGGCTGACTCATCACGATAGGCAAGCTCGATCAACATGTCAAAGTAGCAGCTACGGTCGGGTGCTCTGCGATAAAAAAAACACCATAATGTTTAGACTTAGTTGCATGGGTGGTAGGTTTACCTTTCACTATGTAGGGGGAACACTGGAAAGATCTTAATTCCAAGATTTTAATTATTCTAAGTGACTTGTTCGATTGATAGATAAAATTCAGCACTTGACGACCAGCTCGAATGTGGTAATTCGTACCAGATCAGTGCAATAACTGTCCTTCCCATCCTGTGAATACTTTTTCCCATTCCCACTAAAAGCCCTCCGCAAATACGATTATCCGCCCAACGCTTTTACCTGATAATCGCATTTAGACCAATTACAGGAATATCCGTAGCTAAGACAAACTTATCGGTTGATGATTATAGTCTCATAAGAACCTTTTAATTAAATTCTAATGCTTTACTAATGTGTTTTTATGGACCCACTCCTTTAAGAAATTATTTGAAACCTAAAAAAGGATGGAAATTAATTAAATACTTCTATGAATAAATGTTAAGCATAATTGACATATCTGTGAGAATTAATGGTACCACCGTGCTGTGTTTAGTTTTAAATGCATTGTTGTTGGAACCTTTAAGCTAACAGGTGAAAGTATGGATACTTTAGCAGTCCAGCTACTGTCTCACGTCTGAATTGATGAGATATCCGCGCCATATTCTGCAATGATTCTTTAACACTAAAAAAAACATCAACTTTACTTTACCTCAGTCAATTTAGTCTTCTTATATATATATGCAGTGTTGCACTAAGTTTGCGTATATGACATCATTTAACAAAGTACCTACTTAAGGTTTAGTTTTCTTCATCAGCCTTATACATTTAGTTTCAATCGTTGGTTACCCATGATAAGTAAAAAATGACTGAACTGTTTGAAAATAATTAGGTAAATTATTCTTTAAAATATCGGTGAGCTGTACAAGTGATTTCTAGTGCGATAAATACAATTATAAATTAGGGTTTTTATCTTTTTCACTTTGCATAGCAGAATATGCATTGTAATCGATATGGCTGGATGAACTGAAACCAAGACCGGCGCCTCGCTGAGTATGTGTTATGGTACGAGACATCTCATATTCGTGTTCAAGTCGCCGGAAAAGTTCAGCTTGTGCTTCAGCTCGACGCAAAGCTTCAGTTTCATTGACATGAGCAGCACTTCCGTCCACGACTTCTTCAGAAGAATCATGAATTCCCATCAATTTCCGAAATTTAGCTGCAGCTGCAGAATCACCTTTTCCAGCAATTAGAGATGTAGCTGTCCAAAGAGTTTTACTTTCCTAGGTGAAAAATAAAGATTTTGTAGTTCGCAATGAACATTTATGATTTAGTCAACACACCAAAAATGAACCTTATTTTCCAAAATAGACTACTACTTACAGAACTAGTGTTTTCACCATCTTTTTTGGACCACAATAATTTGCGCTTTTGTTGTTGCTCCGCGAGTTTAACGGCGTTGACAGTGGTTGGGTTGTAGTATTTCGGGAGCTTCGCGGCGGCGGCAGCGGCTAATGCTTGAGCCTTGGCTTGCTCTTGTTGATGCTTTTGTATTTTGTCTAATATATCTTGTGCTGTTAATCGCTGCACAGGAACATTCGTCGTAGTATCTGGACGAAAAAGCATCCAGGTAATTAAATTTTGAAAGAAATAGCATCTTATGTAATAATAGTGATTAAGTTTATAAAATCTGAATGACTTCGTAAAATCTTTGACTTCAGTTACCTTGGTTTTTCGACAAATGTGACGTGATATTGAAGCTCTACGGTGTTTGTCAAATGGATATATTAAACAAAATGAACAAACATTTAGCACGACATACAAAGAACTGTCTTTTCATATTGACCTACTACATATATATTGATTTCAGTTTGACTATGTTCATAAACCTCCAATTAGAGACTTTACGTTTTACCATTCTTGGTTTTGAAAGAATTATGCTACTCAATTGTCCGCATTTACCAATTTGATCCGTCCAATGATAAATTTTTTATTTGTAATGCCACACTTCGGCGGATTAATATCTACGGTGAATATCATATTTTTACGATGGCTCCAGAGTTGAAAAATAATATGGTAAATCTGTCACTAGACGAGTTCTAAAAAGTAAAGTACATCACAAAATGATATTTTGCTATGAGGTTTTAATCATATCGGGAAATAAGATTGTGTTTGCTTTAGACGTCTAACGAACATGCTGTGATTTTTTACTTTTATGTTGAGCTGGAATCTCTTAATCCTCGAACAACTAGTTACCCCAGAAGTGTTCCCTTGTTTTAGTCTTTTTTTTATATCTATTAACATTTTCCTCAGTGGCTAATGAACTGTATTCTAAAATCTAATTTTATGATCTGAAATACTGATAGATTAAGACAGTAAGATTCGTACTTTGACTAGAAACTGCCGGAGAATTTGTCGTCACAGTGACTCCCGTCGTTGAGATAATGAGGTTAGTGTTCTGGTTTTCTGGCTTCGGTTGAGAAGTCTGAAAGAGATTATGGAAAGCAGATGATAAATTGACATAAGATCAAAAAAGAACGAATGTAGAGAAGCTGATGTTTTGTGCGTTGTCCATGAAATGAAACAACTCGTAAATACAAACAATTAGTTTCAATTCAAGTCTTGAAACTTAACAGCACAAAAACAATTGTTAAAAATAAAGTTTACTGGATATTAAATTAAAGAACCCAAAGATGATTTCTTGAAGATAACACATGACAGACTTACGAAATAATCCTTGGAACTTGTTGTGAGGAGTTGTGTTGAATTTCTACCATTATGACTTCCACGCCGACTAGGTTTGCTTTCAGGGCTAGTATCACTAGATGAACTGGTAGATGAAGTTGAACTGTGACGTCGATGCTTTCGGCGATAACGATGTTTATAGTCACTACAGTGGGAATCACGGTGATGATGCTTTCTGGATGAATGTTTGTGCCTCGAATGGTGGGATGAACGTTTGTGTTTTGAAGAGCTTACACGTTCACTTGGACTTCCGCGATCAGATCTGAATCAATTAAACATCAGAATAGAATTTACGAAAGTATGAGGTTCACGAAAACAAAAAGACAATAACATTAGTCAGCTATTAGAAGATCTGTTGTCCCATAAGTCGTCCCATTCAAGTGATTAAGTAGCATTCCAACTTTTGCGCTTGAACAAAAGACATGAGGAGATAAGTAATGGATTTAGATTTTAGTTTGTCGTGCACCAATTCTACCATATTTGTGCAACTTTCGTCAGCCAGTCAGCAATAATGTAGTGCTACGTACGTACGTACGTACATCAGTTCAAGTTGCCATACCACATTAAAACCCAGATACAATTGTCGATTCAAATCGCACAGTGGTAGAGGTAGTAAATGTATATGCAGTAATCGGAAAGATTAGGGTTTGACGATGTTATCCAAGGAGTATAATCCAGTGAAATAAATTTGGAAAGAGAAAAA